CCGAGTGCTGGGATTACAGGCGTGTGCCCCCATGCCCATCTAGTGAAAGATTTTTGATTTGGAAAAGAAAGCTTTAAAGAATATTGAGGATATATGAATTAAAATTACAGTGAAAAACATGGGGAGTGCTATAACATTAAGGTATTTATGAGCATTAAAGCTGACACTTGCAAAGTCACTTTTGTGTTCTATAAATATTTTTCAAAATAAATGTATATTTTCCATTCAATCAGAAAAATAAGAACGATTTTTATTTTGTAAAAAAACAAAATTCTCTCTCAGAACGTATTTCCACCCCTTTCAGTCCTTAGGTCCTCTGGGTTTGGACAGCAGAGGATTCAGAGGCAGCAGGAGAAAGCTCCTCACTTCAAATTGCACAAAGTCAGGATCTTTCACCTCAGGGGAGAGAGCAGGGAACAAGGCTCTCTGTCTCCACTGTGAAAAGCATTCTTCTGCGGGGGGCTACACCCCATCCCCAGAGCACTGAGACTCTTGCTGGCTCCCGGGCTCAGGACTCTCCTCACCCAGTGCGACCAGGTTCCTGTAGTTCTCCAGCATCACGTCTCGGTAGAGGTTCTTCTGAGCAGGGTACAGCCGTTCCCACTCGTCCTTGGTGAAGTCCACAGCCACGTCCTGGAATGTTAGGGATTCCTGAAACCCAAGCACAGTGTTGCTCACACAGAAACTGTTCTGAAAGGGGCCTCGGGAGGAGGGAAAGAGTAGCATTAGGAAAAAGTTAGGATGTCTGAGCCATTGTGCTAACAAGTCTTCAGGATTCAGAGTAATCCAGAGTCCAGGTCAAAGCTTTTAAAATAGCAAGGTGTGGAGGCACGTGTTTGTAATTCCAGTAGTCACAAGGCTGAGGCAGGATGGTCATAAGTTCTATGTCAGCCTGGGCTACATAGTGAATTTAAGGCCATGCTGAACTACAAAGCAAGAGACCCTTTCTCAACAAACAAACAAATCCTTGTTCTTGTAGAGCTGAGATGTCAGGGCTCCTAAATATAGCTATTACTTTTCCCCTGTAAAAAAAAAATCAGTCATCTATGTAGCAAATTCGCTAGGAGACTCAAATCTGGGTGGGGGGGTCTTGTATAATTTTAGGTTGAGCACCTGTAATAAAATTCACCAGAGTCAGCAGAAGTCTTGGTCCAAGGACCTAAGGAGCCTTTAAAGGGAAAGACAAACCACTCATAAAGATAAGGCAGATAAATTTGTGACACTGTTTAAAGTAATCAGAATACTTTTAGAATATCTGATTCCCACATGACAAAAAGCAGAAATCAACAGATAGATCAACTATAACCAGTTCTCTTCAGCCCTTCCCTCCCTCTTCTCCAAACAGAAAGTGGCCCTCACTGAGCTGAAAGATCTTTCATAAAGAGTGGGTCCTTTTCCTTAGAAAACTACAACAGAGTGAAATGTCTTGATTTGCTAATGACCATAGAACACTTTTTTTCTGTTCACAAAAGTTGTCCTGGAAAACTGCTCTCAGAAAGCAAGTGACAGAAATAAAAAAAGGAGCAATTCTGAATAGGTACTCCATAAATACTTGCTACGTCAGTAATAAAAGGATAGTGGTGTTTAGAATATTTCATACACTAGCATTAGTTCATGAAGATAAAAAGTAAAAATAAAGCTGCGACCAAAGCAAGTTTTCTTAGCTCTTGGTGAGGCAAGATAGACTACTGATACTGTTCAGGTATTTACTTAGGATTTAAGACAGATCTCAGAGTGGCTAAAGAACTATTTTTCATGAATAGTCTGTGTAGAACCACTTCATACCTGTATGACATGATCCCACTCATATGTGGAACGTAAAAGAGTTGATGTCATACATCTCTCAGACAAAGAAGTAGAAATAGCAAATAAACATGAAAAAATGTGCAATATCACTGGTCATTTGAGAGATGCAAATGAAAGCAACGCTGAGATTCCACCTCACCCCAGAAAGAATGGCTGCTATCAAGAAATCAACCAATAACAAATGCTGGTGGGGCTGTGGGGAAAGAGGAGCCCTGCTCCACTGTTGGTGGGAGTACAGACTGGTGCAACCACTGTGGAAATCAGTATGGAGAAACCTCAAAGAACTAGGACTGGAAGTCCATTTGACCCAGCTATTCCCCTGCTGAGTATCTTCCCCAAAGAATTAAAAGAATCATACCACAATGACATATGTGTACCCATATTCATAGCAGCACAGTTTGTAATAGCTAAAACTTGGAAGCAACCCAATTGCCCATCAATTGGAGACTGGAAAAAGAAAATTTTTTTTTAAATATAAAATGGAGTACTACTCAGCCATAAAAATGAGAAATTAGAGACATTTATAGCTAAATGGATGCACATTGAGGCGATACTCGAGTGAAATAAATAGGACACATGTGTAAAGACTGAATAGTTTCTCTAGTGTTAGAAACTGAAAGTGTAAATAAGGATTAAAAGGTATAATAGATAATGTGAAATAGGAAGAAAAGGGGCAAAAGGGAAGGGGAAATGGGAAGGTAAGGGAAAGGAAAGAATGGAATGGAATTAATATGAGAAAAGGAAAAAACAGAAACAAAGTGTTTGTAGATAGGAAGGGAGGGGTTGAAGGGAGGGCAGGGGAATGGGGAAAAAATAAAAACCAAAATGGATTATGTAAAGGCGCAAATTTCCAACAATGAATGTCATTATATTGTATACCTTAAATGTACCAATAAAATTAATTTCTTAAAAAAGAGTTGCTGTCACAGAAATTTAACACAGAATAGTGGTTACCAGAGACCAGGGTGGTGGGATGGAAAAGGTTGTGTGTTAGTCAACTTTCCTTTGCGGGGACAAAACACCTGACATCCACAATTTAAAGGAGGAAATGTTTATTTTGGCTCACAGTTTCAGAGGTTTCAGTCCATGGTTGGATTCAAGGCAGAAACATCATGGCAAATGGCATAGCAGAGGAAAGCTGCTCAACTCATGGCATCTGGAAAGCAGAGAAAGATGGAAAGAGCCCAATAGGAAGGGGCTGGGGACTAGTCCCCAAAGTCACAGCCCCATGACCTGCTTCCTCCAATGAGGTCTCACCTTCTAGTAGCCCATTCAGCTATGAGCTCATCAATGAAGCCATGCCCTTCTGATCCCAACGCCTCTCCAGAAGTCTTTTAATCTGTTCAGGTTGACAGTCAAGATTACCCTTTAGAGGCTGCTCAGTAGATACTAAGTCACACTTCAGCAGGAACAAGTTGTGGTGTGTGATTGCACAGTGGAGTCATTATAGATAACAGTAATGTCCTATATACTTCAAAAAGCTAGAAGAGAGGATTTTGAAAGTTTTCACCTTTAAGAATGACAAATGTTTGGAGAGATGTGTCTAACCTGATTTAAATATTATGTAGTTTAAAAAAATGTAATGTTACATATAACACAGCACGACATTGTAGCCCACTTATAGGCACTGTTTTGTTTTCATGTATCAGTCAAAGAATAAATTTTAAAACATTTTTTAAATATATACTTTTAGACCAGGGATGATATTAAATGTTTTTCAAAATGTTTAGAACCACTTCCAACCATGAAGGAAATACAGAGTGGCTTTGGAAATTAACTACCATTTATTTGTTTGTTTGTTTGTTTGTTTTTTGGTACCAGGGATCGAACTCAGGTCATTGCATTTGGGAGGCAGGCAGCAGGACCACTGAGCTAAATCCCCCACCCTGGAAACTAACTTTTGCTGCAGAATTGATACTGTTTCCCAACAAATTCAACCTAAAGTCACAAAGCAAAACAGCATTTGTAACATATACCACAATGAAGTTATTTCAATTGTGCTATGGTTTAGATCTAAAATGCCCCCCATTAAAAGTCTCACGTTCAGAGATGGGGCCTGGCTGGAAAGGGCAGATCACTGGAGTTATGGCCTGGAAGGGTGTACCATATTCTCATCCTGGCTTCTCCTTTTTCTTTCTGCTTTCTGGCGCCACACAGTGGACAGCTGTCCTCCACCCAGGTCCATCCACCATGCCTTTCTTGACCTGGAGCCTCTGACCATGGATTGAACCCATTGAAACTATAAACCAAAATAAACCTCTCCTTGAAGTTGTGATGTTGGGTATTTTGTGCCAATGAAGGTGAAGTGACTAAGACAAATGTAATTACTATTTTTTTAATCACAGGGAATGTCAAACTGCTTTATGTATTTTCAGTGCTATCAAAATATAAAACAAGACATGAGACCCCTGTCCCCATGCAAAATGTGCAGCAGCTGTTATTTTCCAAGCTCCAACTACAGTTCTGGTAGCATCTTTGGATCTCTAAACCATGGCAAAGGGCAAAATCCATTTAACCAGACAATTCAGGGACTTTGATTGTCTGCCACCTAATGTCATGCTAAAAGTTGTTAACCAGAGAGATGAAAATAATAGAATTCTACAAACACTGTTCAAGTAACGAATAAGCCTAAATTCAACCCTATGCTGATGGCTGATATCAGTATTTGGAGGTTTCCAAATATGAAATATGTTAAACCTCAATATAACAAGTCTCAATAGGTGAGCCATTCTTTACGATTGATTTTGGTGATAATAGTAATTTTGAGTCCTAATTAAGTGAAATGTTATTCCCATGAAAAGAGTTCCATTTTCTTCTTGTCGGTGTATCTGTAATAATGCTCTCTATGGTTGGATGGATGGTACATGGGATTTGCACTGAGCTACATCCTGAGTCCTTTTTTTATTTTTTTATTTTGAGACAGGATCCCACCAAGTTGCCCAAACTGGGCTCGATTTTGCGATTCCCCTTCCTCAGCCTCCCAGAGTGCTAGGATTACTACTAGCCGTTCTTATTTTATTTTGAGTTTCACCGGTACAAAACAGGAAAGGGATGGCGGAGTCTGTCATGGAAGGGGACAGCGAGGCTGGAGTGTCGCGTGGGGACAGAGCAGAGAACCGCGGACGCCGCGGGCCCTGCACTCAGGGTGGGGGCTGGGCGAGGAGGACGCGGGTCGCGCGACCCCCAAATCGGGCGCAGCGCGGGCGCCATTGCGGGAGGTGGTGGCCCGGACCCGGGTTGGTAGACGCGGAGGCGGTGAGTGAGTGCGCCCAGTGCTAGTCCCGCACCTTTCCCACTCCCAGGGTCCTGAACTCGGCGACCTACGTTTAATTTGTGAACTATTTGTGTCCCCGACGCAAGACATCGCAGCTTTTCCGCCTCAGCCGCGGGGACCCTGAGTAACGTAATGCACACGGAGCAACAGAAAGCCGGGGCTGTTTAAACTTATTTACGTATTTTTGCACAAACACATGATACTGTGTGATTGAAGTCGTGCTATACACACTGAATCCTCTGTCCCCAATGACATCCGAGTGGGACAGAAGCATTTCCTAGACAGGTCACCCTAATGCACTGCTGCGCTGCGTTACAATATACTAAAGGACCTTGCTATTTGGTGCACAAAATGTATTTCTTGTCATCCGTAACTATCGCAACGGCAGAATTTCATCTTACTCCACTGTCAAAACAGCATCGGGATGAGGAGTGAGCATCGAGGCTGGGCCGGGGCTCCGCTTGTGACCTGTGCCCCCAGCATTTCATCTCTGTTACAGACATGCTGCTGTGCCATCTAATGCTTTAAATCTTTTAAAAAGTGTCGACCTCGTGAAAAACAAAAAGCTTGAAAAACTTACAGATTAGGGGGCACTAAGGAGAGCTGACTTAATGCAGGATCGTAGGTTACAGAAAGAACGAAGTGGAGGAACGGATGAAGAAATGTGAGTAACTTCAATGGCTCGCTGTATCGTGGTTATAAAGAACGTTAACCTTCGCATAACCAGGATGGACCCAGGGTGGATTTTATGTATGCTACTTTTGCAACTTTCCTGCAAATCTAAAATTGGTTCAAAACAAGTCTTTTTAAATTAGAAAAGTAAGCACTAGAACCCTCTCATTTACTTACTTAGCAAATATTTATTGAGTGTCTACTACCTGCCAGCCTCAGAGGCTTAAAAATAGAGTATAAAGGAACAGGCTGGGTTCCTGGCTTCATGAATGGTGAGGTTTAAAGATGAATTCCTGGGGCCTGGGATTTAGCTGAGTGGTTCGCCACCTGCCTTACAAGGACCCGAGTTCGATCCCCGGTACCAAAAAATAAAAAAGCGAACTTTAGCTGGGCATAGTGGCACATGCCTGTAATCCCAGCACTCAGGAGGCTGAGGTAGGAGGATCGCTGTGAGTTCAAGACCAGCCTGGGCTACATAGTGAGTTCCAGTTCAGTCTCAACTACATAGTGAGACCCTGTCTCAAAAAAAAAGGATTTCTGGACAGCTACCTGGATAAGAAAGGTTTAAATGAGGGCTCTCATCTGGTCTGTGATATCAGAATCTCTACTCGTTTAAGCTGAAACCTGGAAAATGGAAAAAAAGAGAATAGATTCCATGAAAGTACTTTCAAAGTAAATATATTTGGAAAACATTGTATACAATATGTTACTTGATATGCTTCCCTATGCCCTGTGGTTTTTCTAGGTTTCATAATTCCATAGGGAAATCTCCTATAGGATTTGTAGTAAAGAAACTTTGTGGCCAGAATCTCCCCAACTTGATTTGGTCCATTTGTGAGCAGACAGTAAGATGCTATTAGCACATTTTGGGCAAACCTCCCCACTCAGTAATCTATGGAGTCCTTTTCAGTTCATGCACTTAAAGGACAAGCGTGCTTTGCTTAACTTCGTATGTGTAGTTTTTATTGTTGTGAGACACTTGTCTTTGAGGTGATTGGGTGTGAAACTTAAGGGTGTTTTCATTAACTTTGGTCTGGCTCTTCTGACAGTAGGTCTTTTTCAGAGCTAATGGTGGTGAAGTAAGAACCTAGTTCTAAAATGCTTTTAAAATCCCCCTGCAAGGTCCTCCTCTTAGTGAACTGGTTGTAAACCATGTGATTAATATCACGTCTTGAGCATTAAATACCTTTCTTATCTAATAGGGCCTGTTATACTAGAATTGTAGCTTTCTCTCTTTTTAAAAATGCTTACCAGAAATGGCTTCTTCCTAGCACTAGTTTTTTGAGAGCAATTTTTTTAGCACAGCCTTTGTGGACAGAAAAAGACTATATTTTTCATGGTTACTAGCAAATCAGATAATTTTGCTCAGTTGTGGTTGTTGAAATGCCAGTTTTTCCTTCTGTCTAGTGGGGACCAAAGCCACTTTGTGAAAAATCTTCCAACTAGGCAAGGACCACTGTGTTTTTTATTCTGGGAAGAGGAAGGGGAATCTCTTGTAGTTGATAATCTGTACAGCTCTGCTTTTTGTAATGTGGAAATCAAAAATTCTAAAAGTCCTTTTTGATTACTTTAAAAATTATCATACCTTTCTGTGCTCTATCTTTATGAATGAATGGTTTTTCCTTCTCTTTACAGACTCCTTAGGTCTCTACAAGACCAAGACTGTGGAATTTCTTCTGCCAACTCAGGTGAATGTCATTACAGGTATCCATCCTAAAATTGTTTCTCACAAGATCCCTGACAGGAGACAGATTTGAGTCTCATAGAAAAAGTCTCTATATAAATGATTGGTGTCAGGAGCCACATTCAGAAACCCTAGAAAACCAGCTCTCAAGGACTGAGCCTGATGCTGAGGCTGCCAGTGCTATCGCATCTCTGACTGAGCTGCTGTGCTGGAGGAGAACAAAGCTTCGGTGTCACCAGCACCCAGGAACTTCAGAGGTAGAGGTGTGGCACTACTGAATGCAGGTACCCACAGGCAAGGTGAGTATTCTGAAAAATGAGAGAGCTATCTCCTTTGTGTGTTCATTCAGAGGATCCCTTGGCAGGAGAGGAGGAGCAGATCTTTGGGGTCTAGTTTCAGCCTAAATTAATACCCTGAATGGATAAAGTGTAAGAGTAACAGCTTGGCAGAGTGTGTTCTCTACATAACCTCACCTTAGAATCACTTGGAGCCTTTAGAATTACAATGCTGTGCTCAGGCCAACTGTGGACCTGTTCAACCCAAGCCTTTGAGAGTGTGGGCTGGGAATTGGCATCCTTTTTAATTTCCCAGGTGCATAGCATGGGTGGCAAACCACTGAGCTTCCCAGGGCTATGACATTGAACTTGTACCACAAAGGAGAGAAAGTCCTACATTGAATCCCCAAGTGAGATGGGGTCACGAGGATGTCACAGTTGAGTTGTTAGCCTTTAAGTTTATATCGTCAAGGCCTCTCTGTAAGCTGGCTGCCTCACCAACACAAAGCCAAAGGTCCAGAGTTTTAATCTAGTCTTAATACTGTGTATTTTTTCCTCTTTTAGGTTATTTGTTTCAAGTATTTTTAGAGAAAGAATGTTAGTCATCTGATGATAACTCACACAAGGTGCAGAAGTAAAATTATCCCATGTACAGTGGTACCTCAGTTCACAAACTTAATTCTTTCCACAGTTTTGGTTGCAAACCAATCAAATTCAGTGGTTAGGTTCATTGTTGATCTTTGGGGAAATTTGATTCAGTTTACAACCAATTTGGTTTGTGACTGAAATCATAGAAAGAATTAAATTCATGAACCGAGGGACCACTGTATCCCTTTGGCTGTTTTGGCCCCAGTCTTCACTTCTAGATAAGCTTGAGAGGTTCTCAGGAATCTAGTAATCCTGTCCTCCAGGGCAAACACTGTTTTATTTACCTTTCCAGTCTTTGAAGCACATTTAAATTGTGTATGTTCTGTGTTTCACGTACTGAACTGTCATCTGCTTTTACTTGTAACCTATGATAAACCAATCTCCACCAAAGATCTGATGCTTTTTAAGGCCTGCATAGTCTTCTGGTGCATGGATAGAGCCTAGTTTATTATAGAACTTTTCATTGGTGAACTTTTAGGTCATTCCAAATGTACTAATTTGGAACAGTGATTTTTTGAATTTCACAATGGCTTGTGCCTTTGCATTTTTTATCTTATTTCCATAGTATACATTCAAGATGTGAAGTTTTGAGATTGTGTACATTTAGGTTGTTAAGGTGCATTCCAATATCAACATCCAGGATATTTATGCATTTTATAATTAGGATATGAGAATTCCATTTCCTTAAAGTTTCACCAGCACAGAAATCTATAGCTCTTTTAAACTTTGCAAGACTAATAGGGGAAAATGATGTTTTATTGCTTTGACTGTTACATTCCAGCTGACTTTTTCAAAGTAAAAATTTAACATTTTAAAAGTCAATTAATAGCCAGGCATAGTGGCACACGCCTGTAATCCCAGCACTCATGAGGATGAGGCAGGAGGGTCTCTGTGAGTTCAAGACCAGCCTGGGTCACATAGTGAGTTTCAGTCTCAACTACATAGTGAGACCCTGTCTCAAAAAACTGAAAAAAAAAAAAAACCAACCCCCCCCATAAAGTCAATTGATTAATTAACAAGAAAAATAGGATTGGAGGAGATTTTTCCAAAATGTACCCATTTTCATCATTGTTTGGAAGGAATGTTTTGTTTTGTTTTTGGTACCAGGAATTGAACTCAGGACCTTGTGCTTGCCAGGTAGTTGCTATGCCACTGAGCTAAATCCCCAGCCCTGGAGGGAATGTTAAACATTACTGTTTCTCTCTTTTGTACCTTTTTAAAAACCATTTGTGTTTGCCCATGTTCTTCCTGTAATGTTGTGACCTGAGATACTGATTCTTTTTTATTTTTACCATGATTATGTTTTTTAATTCAGTGTAATTGACAAAATCATATATATCGAAGTGCACAGGATTATGTTTTGAGATACATATACCTTGTGAAATGATTACTACGATCAGGCTAATAGCTAGTGCCTCGCAAACAGTAATTTCTAATTTCTTCCACTTAGGAACTTTTCATAATAGCACAAACCAAAAAATATTCTTAAATTAAAAAAAAAACAACTTGCTCAACATCTCATTCCCAGAGACAGATTGAGGGGTAAGTAAATGCCGTATGGATGATTTCTTGATCTCTCTATGCATTAATGCATCTTTTAAAACAGAAAAAAATGGATATTGCCACATATACTGTTTTGTAAGGTGCTGTTTCACTTTACTAGAATGTAGAAGAAACCTTTTCACTTCACTAAATTGTCAGCATCACAAATCTCTTAATAACATAATGCATAACTCTTTTCCCCACCCCCCATACCCTCCATTATACACTCTTCTGCATAGCCCTCTTCTTTTCTAATAATAGTGACTCTTCTACTTGGATGTCATCTTTTTTAGATTCTACACATTAGTGAAAAGTGGCACTTATTTTTCTAAGTCTGCCTTATTTTGCTTAACATGATCTCCAGTGGCATCTATTTTCCTGCAGATGTCATTTTGTTCTTTATGGCTGGATAATATTCCATTGTGTACATATACCACATTTTCTTTTTCTACTCATCTTCAACCATCTAGGCTCCTTCCTTATCTTTGCTATTGGAAGTTGTGCTGAGTTTGCAGGTCTCCTGGTAGATGCTGACTTTAATTCCTTTGGGTATATACCAAGGAGTAGTACAGCCAGGTCGTGTGGTAGGTCTATTTTTAGGTGTTCTAGGAACCTCCCTAGTGTTTCCCACAGTGGCTATACTAATTTACACTGCCAAGAGCACTGTAAAAGGGTCGCTCTTCCCCTATCCCTGCCAGCATTTACTGTTTTTCTATTCTTGGTAGTAACCATCTTGACTGGGGTGAGATGGAATATCAGTGTAGTTTTGATTTGCATTTCCCCAGTGTCTAAAGATTATGACCATTTTTAATATATATATTGGCTGTGTCTACTACTGTTTTTGAAAAGTAACTGTTCAATTTATTTGCCTGTTCAAAGTTCCAGGTCTTATATTTAGGTCTTTGATCCATTTTGAATTGTTTTTTGTACAGAATGAGAGACAGGGGTCTACTTTCAGTCTTCTATGTATAGATATCCAATTGTCCCAGCACCTTTTGTTTAAAAGGCTGACTTTTCTCCAACATGTGTTTTTTGTTCCATTGTCAAGAATTAGATGGATATAGTTGTATAGGATTGTTCCTGCATCCTATATTCTTTTCCATTGGTCTACACATCTATTTCTGTGCTGGTACCATGCTGTTTTTGTTACTATGACTTTGTAGTATAATTTGAAATATGCTATTGTGATACCTGCAGCCTTGCTCTTTCTCCTTGGGATTGCTTTGGCTACTCTGGGTCGTTTGTGTTTTCATGTAAATTTTAAGATTTTTTTTTCTATTGTGAAGAATATCACTGGTATTTTCATGAGGATTTGTCAAATCTACCACTTCTGGTAAAATGACCATATTGATGGTATGGATTCTGCCAATTCATCAACATGAGAAGTTTTTCCATCTTCATTCTTCCATATTCTGAAATTCCCATTATACAGATCTTTCATCTCCTTAGTTAGGTTGATCCTTTTTAAAGCTGTTATTAATGGGATTGTTTTCTTAATTTCTTTCTCAGCTAGTTCATTATTTGTATATAGAAAATCTGTTGATTTTTTACTGTTGATTTTGTGTCCTGAATATCATGTGTGAGCAAGATGCCTCTTTTTCTTTTTCCCAGTTATGCCTTCTCAGAATGTGGTTCTTTCCCAGGAAGGGAACACGAAGGAGACAGAAATGGATGATGGATCACAGAAAGTCAGGTCTCGAGTAAGTTCAGTTCTGCTCTCCTCCAACATGCTACCATAGTTCTCAGGATGTTGGCACTTTCATTTTTCAGTGTAAAGCCTTGCTGTGCTGTCTGTAAACATGGTGTATGGTGCCTTGGTTACTTTGACTGCTTTGAATGAATGGGATGGATCATGAAATGGGCCTGAATTATCTACTACCACAGGTTAACTTTATGAAGACCTCTTGTATCTCTTCCCAACCTGTTTAAGCCTATTGTTCTGATTTTACAATTTGATTAAGTATTGTGTTATTAGATGAGCTATGAGTGCTACAACTTGTATCTATGAAAATTAATCAAAATATTTGGAAAATTCAATAAATACTCTTCACTTTTTAAAAGATTCTTACCAAATTAGGTATGAGCAAAATCATAAAACTGGAGGAAAATCATAAAAATCTCAGAGGATTCCACACAGGTATTATTTTCAAAGCATCATTTTTTTTTCTACTTTAGTGAAACAGAAACAGATGCTTATGAATATGTACACTTGGTCATCAAAATCTCTCTCATGGAAAAGGCTTAGCTTCATTTCAACAGAGAAAGTGAATATAGATTTATATGTTTTATTTATTTTTATTTATTTTATTTATTTATTTTGGGGGGGTACCGGGAATCAAACTCAGGACCTTGTGCTTGCCAGGCAGGTGGCGGAAACACTGAGCTAAATCCCCAGCTATATTTTTTAAATTTTAAAAAGGTTCATTTATCTTTTGTGGGTTCCCCACTTTAACCAATTTTTTTTTTTTGCTTTATATACCAGAGTCCAGGCTCACTTGTTTCAGAGAAGACCTTTTATTGTTACTAGTATAGTAATTGTCCTTAGGTGGCCAGTAGACTCTGGAAGGGATTCCTTAACATCCACATGACAGAAATAATATTTAAAAACATGTAATGTTAGATGCTGTTATGAATGCAAATGACAACACATACAGGCGCTCAGAGAAGGGAGAAATCTGACTGAGTTCATGGAGATTAAGCACAATTTAAGGTTAGTTTGTACTGATGGCAGCAGGCAGGGTGTGGAGATTAGAAAACTGGGCCTGCTGGAGACAGGAAATAAAACACAAGCGAGAGAGAAATAATGATGGGATTATCATCTAGAGCTGTGCATTTACTTAGTATTTTAGTGCTTGGAGGGCTTTGCATTTCAAGGAATAGATTCATCTAGTTCTAAATTAATTTGTAGCCTTACCACAGAGAGAATAGAAAGGCCATTTAGAACTTAGGTGGCATATCTGCTTCTCAGCATTCTAGCCAGATGAGTGTTTTCATTTTCCAGAATCATTCATTATATGAAGAAGGATGTTGATGCACTGATTGAATATTTTATTGAGCAGCTAATATGTTCCAGAAATTGTGCTTGGTGTCAGGTTTTGCACCATTGATAAAATACACATGGTCCTAACCCTAAGGAGCTTACTGATATGCCAATAAATACAGATGAGATAGTTTTATACAAATTTAAGAATAAAGTGCTATGCATACATGTTAGGGATTTGGGGAAAAACTCTCTGGGGAAGTGAAATGTAAGGTGAGACACAGAGAGTATATCAGAATTGTAAAAAGTGGAGAAGTGCATTTTAGGTATGTGCTACACATCAGAGAAAACTGTGGGTATATTTGAAAAGTTTAAAAAGGAAATAATGACTTGAGGTGAGCCAGGAGATGTGAACAGGAGCTAAAGACGAAAGGCCTGTGGTCATGAGGGGAGTTTGGGTTTCACTCTTTAAGTGTAGGGGAGCCTTTGAATGAAATTAAGCTGGAAAGTAAGTGAATATGTAATGGAGTTCTACCTGTAAAACCACCCTGATAGTAGATAACTGAATATGTGAGAGGCAAGAATTGAAGGAAGACGGAATGAGTTAGGAAGCCATTGCAGTGTTCTAAATAATAGAAAATATCCTAAAAGCAGAAGGAAAGTAAGTGGGTTTGATTGTCTTGTTTTGGAAACTAGAAAGAATAGCTAGAGGGGTATTGAAAAAAGATGATTTCAAAGTATATGACCATGGAAATTTAAAGAAAATAGTAAGTCAAATCTTCGTTCCTCTGCTTAAAGTGCACAGCTTCCATTTCACTGAGAATCAAAGCCTGCATAGTCCTGCAGAATCTGGCCCTGCTATCTCCTGTGCTTCATCATTTACTCTTCTCCCCTTTACCCACTCCCTGGTCTTGTCCTTCTTCCTTAATACTTGGAGCACACTCTGTCTCCAGGACTTGGTTCTGTCAGCTTTTCAGATTGTCACTTCTGAAATGACCCTTTTCCTGATCACTCTATTTAAATTTGTAACTATGCCTTTCCCTGCTCTACTTTTATCTTCTAACATACTGTATTATCCTGCTTAACTGTTGATTGTCTACATTCCCCTCTAGAATGGGAGTGTCTTTAATAAAGACAGAGAAAAAAAAAAAAAAAAAAAAAGGAAAGGGGCCAGGGATTTAGCTCAGCGGTTCAGTGGCCTGCCTTGCAAGCGCAAGGACCCGAGTTCAATCCCCGGCCCAAAAAATAAAGACAGGGAGCTTTTGCCTTGTTGTAGTCAGGGTTTTGGCAAGGGAATACATTAAATACAGGACACAATTTATAGGATTATTTTATAGTTACACAAAAAGTCAGCTACAGAGAAGTGCAAGAGATTAACCATACACTAGAGGCCCAAAGAATCCAGCCAAGGGCCTGCGATCCCAAAGCAATGTCCCACACTAGTTCAGCTGAAGGCCTAGAGTCCAAGGCAGTGTCCTTCATGAGTCCAGCCAGGGGCCTAAAGCCCACAGCAATATCCATGCTTGTATTGAGGATCTGCACCAGCAGGCTCAAAGGCCAATAGTGGAGGCCAGAAAATCTACACCAATGGAATAGAGGATTTGTGCCACCGTTGAGGGATCTACATTGGAACCAGGAAGTGATGCTCACTGTGAAGATCAGAGATGCCCTGATGAGAACAGCAGCCATTCCCAGCAACAGTGAGGCCCCTGAGCTCCTCCTCCAAGAACAGACAAGTTCACATCAGGAAAACCATCTTCAGCAAGCTTTTCCTAGAAAACCAACTGCCCACGATCTTACCCTGCAGTTCTCTTTTTATGACTATTAGTAACAATCCTCAGGTGGATCTTTCATGTCCAGACCATGCTGATTCAGTTCAGCTGGGCATTATAAGATGAATCTTAGTTAATCCACCACATGCTTCCTCTGTTCACTGGCCTATTCCAAGCACCTGCTGGGCACCTAGGGAGCACTGAACAGACATTTGTTGAACAAATGAAAAATTTGGCATCAGATAAGATGGCTTCACAAACTGGTGTTGAAAAGATGGTTTATTCAGCCCTGATGTTGGGATTTCTGGGAAGTTATCTGGATCTATATCTCATAGTTTACATCAGACTAGTCTTCAAATGAATCAAGATTTAAATGGGAAAAATGAAAGAGTTTTGCAAGAAGAAAGAATTATTTTATATTATTCACTGAGGAAAGTACACCTGCCATAAAAGAAAAGATTAATTACTTAAACTCCTTAGAAAAACAAAAATAATCTGTAAAACAGAAGAAAACTTTAAGCAAGGTTAGAAAAAAAGTAAAATTGAGAAAAATATTTGCCACTCCAATTACAGGGAGCTAATCTTATATAGCTTATATAAATTTTATATAATCTTATATAAAATAGTCCTCGGAATCAGCAAAAGATTGAGTCCAATAGAAAAATTATACAAGTAACATAAAAAAGAAAATTCACAGAAAAGAATATGTGAATGTATTATAAACATAGGAAAATATCTGTACTCATAACAAGAGTAAATTTAAATTAAAGTTAGAAAATGCTTGCTATTGTACCCCGGAGCTTGGTATTTATCACTAGAATGATATTACACACAAGTGCAATAACATACCGCCATCCTGACAAAGCTATGGCCCTCTCTTTCACTGCTGAGTTACCATGGAGACCTAAAACTAATGACACATCTGTGAAACAGTGTGGAATCTATTCTGGACAAATGCCAGTGTGAAACAGTGTCTATATTGTGCTATTTTGTGTGTGTGTGTGTGTGTGTGTGTGTGTAACAAAAAGAAAAAGAAGCATACATATACCCAGCTCTCCATGCCTAAGCACAGAGACACCAGAAGGATGAATCAGAGTCTAAGGAGATTAGATACCTACAGGACCCAGATGCCAGTGACCTGAAAAATGATAAATGGAAAGGCAGATGGATGAGAATGATACTGCTATAAGAGAACTTGTAGAGTCGCAATTCAAGGATCCTTTGAGCCTAAATAGTAGACTCTGAACTGAGGCTAAAAACAAATTAACTCTACATACTGAACTCCACTCCCAGGCTTCTTTTGTGTAGTAGGGTATACAGTGTTAGAAACACTGAAACCACTTTCTCTACATTCCATGACTAAGCAAATAAGGACTAGAACTAGAGGTCCCAGTGGGTATTTATGGGATTCAATACATAAAGTTACAAACAGAAATGGGAATAGAGCAGTAAATGTACACGTGTGATCATGTGTACATACATCATTCAGTGCATGTATGTATGCACACACAAACCTGGATTTCCCAGATGTAACTGCTGCAAGCACCCAGGAATAGATACCCCAGGAAGATTGAGCAGTCCTGCTGCCCACATCTTGGGTGCTAAATACCATTCATCATTAAAATGAACCAGTGATCCTTGGAGAAAGCTGATTCTAGGCTTGGGCTGCAAAAGCATGGGATGAAGCTTGAAAGAACATCTTTTCTCCCAAAAAAGTAGGAAATGTTCAAAGAATAACAGGCATGTCAAAAGGACACAAGTCAGTTTGAAGAGTCTCCTACTTGCTGAGCCTGTGGTAATCTGTACATTTAAATAAACAATGATAAAGGATTATAAATTATTGAATAAAATAAGAATCTGTCGGGCTGGTGATGGAATTCAGTGTAGAGCACTTGCATACCTTGTGTGAGACCATGGTTCAGTCCTTACAGTGTGTGTACACGCATGCACACATGCATAAAGTGCATGAATCCTATAAATAAAAGGAAAACTTCATCACAGAAAAGAACCAACTAATAATGTATAGAAGATGGGGCCAGGGATTTAGTTCAGTGGTGCCACCACCTGCCTCAACAAGCACAAGGTCCCAAGTTTGATCCCCAGTACCATGAAAATCAAAACAGGGCCAGGAATTTAGCTCCATGGTTCTGCCACCTGCCTTACAAGTGCAAGGTCCTGAGTTTGATCCCCGATTTAAAAAAAAAACAAATAATGTATAGAAGATTGTGAAATTTTAAAAAAAGCAATTGGCAAACATCCTAATTGTCAAGAATTATTAATAGATGCTAACATATTCAGGTATACATGCATACCCATGTTTATAGCCACACATTTCATAACAGCTAAATCTTGGAAGCAGTCTATGTGTCCATCAATAGATGAATGGATAAACTGTGGGGTTTTTTTCTTCACACAGTGGAATACTGCTCTGCCATTTGTAAGAAAATGGATATATCTTGAGTCCATAATCTTAAGTGAAATATGTAAATCAGACACAAGCTTAGCTATCTCATGGTTTCTCTTACGTGAGAAACCCAAAATATAAATAAAGAGTAAAATTTAAAAATAGATAACAGGGAGCGTGGAATTTTTTTTTTTTTTTTTTTTTTACT